TTATATTATATTATATTATATACATACACATATATATATATATATATATATATATTTATATTTATGATATTAGGATGTTGCCACAACCACATCGGCGAAGCCTCCGCTAGATTGCGTCTCGGCCCTTCTCATGGGGTTCTGCGGCGTTACCTTGTGAGGCGTCTGTAGTTTCAGCAAGCGAGAATCCCAGCCGAGGCAGCGCCACAAGTACTGTACCGCCGGACAAACTACACTATTCATAAGCACACAGCCGTCCCTTCGGGTCAACAAAAAACATTCAAACTTGTTTGCCAAGATGCCGAACCCGAATTGAAACCTGAAGGTCACCGGCCTACACCCGCAGTCCAAAGCTGGCCCTAAACTGCCTAAACCCTAAACCGGAGCCCGGAGGTCTTAAAGTCATTCAAAGTCCAACTTAAGTAAGACCCCTGCAGTTTGGGAAAAGCTTGAAACCCGGAGGTCAACGGCCTTCGCGATCCCGCAGGGATGGCAGCGGAGATGAAGCCGGGGCCCCAGTCGATGGCCGCGGGTAAGACGGTGTAGCCTCGTGTCGTTTTCGAAGCTTTCTGGGTTTAGAGGTTGAAGTATGTCTGGTATTAGTTTGGGCTGAGTAGTTGCAAAGCTTTAGGCATCAGGTTCACAGGCAGTATCGCATGAATCACAAGCTCTAGGCGTAGAGGAGTTTGTTGGCGAGGGAAGAGGGGATGGTCCCAGTTCAAGTATTCATGCTTTCATTATACAGCCCCGGATGGTAGGGGCAAGCACAGCATTGGGACAGTGGCTTAGGAGAGCGGTTACATCCACGGTGTTGTTATGACGAAGCGCATTACCACTTTACAGTCGGATCCGAGAGATGTTACTTGTGAAGCCATGACCCGACGACTAATGAGCTGCCGGTTAGGGTTTAGGGTTTAGGGTTTAGGGTCGGTGATCCTACTCCTGCCAGGAAAAACCAGGTCACCTGCGAGTTCCGATCTGCCGCGGTCCCAATGGAGTGGGTGATGGTGTTGAGGGCCTCTTGGGACCGAGTGTTCAGTCAGTGTACCTTCTGTTAATTACATTATGTTATATTCATTTATTTATATGATATATCATATTGTATGATACTTTGCCCTATTACAGTACACTGTAGCACTTTTAGAGGCGTCTCTTCTGCGGTAGAGACTCGCGCCGCCCAGGCGCAGCCTCGCGACGGGGAGGCAAAGGCGCCGTCCACTGGGGCGAGCATCAACTGCATCAACCCCTGACATTGCAGATGTAGGGGCCTAAAAATAGTTACCAGCACTGGTTTAGGGGGCTCCGTGTTATAAGTATATATTATAATTAGTAGAATATATCCCAAAACCCTACTCCAAGCATTGAGACGCCGATGTTACGTACACGTGTATGTACCAAGATGTACCTGTGAGAACTTAGCGAATGGACGACTATACCCCGGGTTCCGTATGTGCTTGCCTATCGGGTCAGGTTCCGGTTCCGGAGCTACGACCGAAGCCGGAGCTCATGCCTTTGAAACTGCCGTCCGGGCCACGGAGACCCCGCTGGCCGCATATAGCAGCCCAAGAAGACATAGTCGGGATTGATGACGGTTGGGTTCGCTTGAGCTTTGGAGCCTGCGTCATGGTGATATGCCTTTCGATGAGGTGCCCTAAACCCTAAACCCCTAAACCCCTACACCCTAAACCCTAAACCCCTAAACCCCTGGACCCTAAACCCCTAAACCCTACACCCTAAACCCCTACACCCTAAACCCCTAAACCC